TTTATTCTATTGTTAACTGAATCTTTTGATTGACCTCATAAAAAGAATTCCTAGGAATCAATAAGACCTATTGGCAAAGACCACGCGCTTACAATTCCCAGAGGCAAAACGCATTGAACTAGGATTTAAATATGAAAAAGTGTCCATCCTCTGAGAGGCAAGTTAAAATCCCCCAGAATTCCATATTTGCCCCTGTCCAAATGGCAAATATTGAAAAGTGTAAGCGTAGGGTAGTTTGTTAGCAGCTGTAGGAAATAAGACTTTCAACATTCTTGCTGCAAAAGTAAATCAGCACAATCTCTCCGGAAAGAGACCAGCCAGCGGGTAATACCGTGTATCCCCCGTAGCCTGGAGCACAGCAACCCCCCTTCTAGGAGTCATGCTACAAACGCGTTTTTCTCTTTTCTGGGTCTTTTCTCCTCCCTTTCCTAATCTTTTTTCACTGCCTCAAGTGAAGTCAATAAAGGGGTAATGTCCCATAAATTCGATGGAATTAATTTCTTTTTGACTATAAGAATTGGCAGTTCAAAAAAAAGACTAGATGCCTTAATTATTAAAGAGAAACCTTAAAAGTTTCTTCTATGAAGGTTCACAGCTATAAAAGTAATAAATGAAGCGCTCAAAATACTACTACGTGGTAGGTCGGGTTAATAATCCTATTCAACCAAAGCTGGTGTTGTCTGCGCGCCCAATCATCAGCATAGGCGCGACCTGAGCGCCCCCTGCTGGCTAAAGGTAAAACAAATTTGAGGTGGAAAGTTTTACCAACACTTTCCGGAAAACTACAAGCGTTGCATTTCCTCAAACTTCCCGTTTATATTGCTTTTCCTCTCCTGTAACTCCCACCTCTTTCTCTCATCGGATAAACTTGCCACCCGCTTCTCAGGAAAGATCAAGATACGCTGCTATTCTTAATCTCCACTCCTAAAGCTATTTATTTCTTTGTACCCGGTGGAGTCATTGTTCGCGCCAGCTCTGCCCACTTACCGCGTCCACATCACACCTGGGCCCGCCCGTCCTGCCTCATGGCTCAACCTCACCTGGGCGTACTTGATCCTTACTCTTTAGCTAATCCAGGGTTTCTTAAAATGAGGCCTGTGGAACATTTATGTACTACTCACCTGGTTGCTTACTGAAAATGCAGATTCCCAGGTTCAATGCGATCATTTGTGATTCTGGCACCTACATGTATAACAAGACCCCTAGTGAATTCTTGTGCACACACACACATACACACACACACACAGTCATATAAAAACGACTCTGATATTCTTTCTTAGTTAAGTTTATTGGCACACGTTAGATATACATTATGATCTTACTCATCATAGGGAATTTGTACCCATACATGGGTACAATTTGCACCTATATATTTTGATTCTTTTTTTCCCAATCCCCCCCTCCCTTCAGCCCATCTTCCCCTCCCTATTTACAAAGCTGTGCAAGCCACAGAATCTTGCCCAAAACTTGCCATGGCTTGGAATCATCTAAAAAGTTAAGTGCAAAAACTCACGCTGGTTCTCAAAGTTTTTAGTAAATTGTTCAAAGTGTTTGCTGTCCCTTCCTATAAGCTGACTATTTATCAGCTTTCCTGTTGCTGGCTCCAAACACTCAACACCCACAATTTAAAGGGATAAAGGTTTAATTTGGCTTGTGTTTCAGGGGTTCGTGACATGGGAAGCTGGTTTCAAGCCAGGAACATCCCGTTGGAAGGGGAGGACAGAGGAGAGCAGTTCATGACTGCTGGAAAGCGGAGCAGGGGAACTGCTCCCAGAGGGAGAGACAGGGAACCAGATATAGATCCCAAGGCCATGACTCCAGGACTCAGAAGTATACTTTGCTAATTCCCTGGGCAGCTCCCAAGCCAATCAAGTTGACAATTAAGCTTAACTTTCACAAGGGCTAATGACATTTCCCTTCTCCATGGATGGTAGACTGGGCCACACAACTGGCTTTGGCCAGTGGCATGACAGAAGCAGTACCATACCAAGAGCATACCATGAGAGCTCTCACACAGCTGGGCCGTGTTCTCTTTTCCCTCAGCCAGAACTGATGACAGCCCTTATAGAGGCTGCTTCCTCAGCCCAGGCTCAGAACAAAGATGCCGTGGACAGAGGCCCACGCTGAACAAAAGGGACATGCATCAGATAGGAGGGAGAAGTTTGCGGTGTTACTATGACTTGGAGAGTCCTTCACTACTTCTTTCGAACTCTGCTTAGGCTGACAGATTCAAAGTTCTTTATAATTGGCTTTTCTGTTTCCCATTACTCCCTCACACTTTTTTATTCCAACTCTAAACTGTATGCTTCTCCCCACGCACAATTCCTTCAAACTCTGTGTACTTGTATCTTATGTGCAAGCTCCTATATTTCTGTTATACTCTATAGGCTAAGGACAAGGATTTTTCCAATTATGGCCCCAAGTTAGCTAATATATATTTTATATTTAGGAAAATGTACTTCCCCATTTATGAGTTAGCCCACAAAATTTAATTCCAATTTCAAAACAGACTTCCCAAATCCCAGTAGCGAAGTGCTGCCCTTACAAATCCTTGCAGTAAATAGATTCCTTCTTCTCAGTGACCAGCAGCTGCCGCTTCTTCTGTTCCCTTCCACTTCTATTAACCCAGTGCCCTCTGAGACATCTCGGCAGTAATTGCAAAGGTGCTCGCGACCATTAATCCATGTACGTCAGTGTCACTGGATTAAGAGATGCCCAGCAGACTGGTTAAGCGCACACCAAGTATGTGTGTGTGGATCATGGAGGTGCGGCTTTGGATAATATATATATTCCCTTCACTCTTCCTTGCTTTTCCCCTGTCTGCTCCCCAGCTGCTAAGAACTAAGCAGCTTTGCTCTGCCATGATCTTCCTGCCTTGGAGCAAGTTGATTATGGACCCCATCCCCCTCAACCATGAGCTAAATGAAACCTTCCCTCCTTTAAGCTGTGACTGTCAGGTATTATGTCCAACAGTTGGAAAGCTAACCAGTGCTGTATGTTGCTTCAGGTTTTTCTGAATCTAATTTTAAAAAGGAGAGGACACATTATTTTTGAATTACTTACCAATATTATACCATGTGATGTGTTACTACAAGCTAAAGCTAAAGATGTTTTGTACATAAAGGACATAAAGTCACTTCATATCTGCCATTTGTGCCAAAGGAACATATTATTTATGCAGCTTTTTCATTATCTCAAGCTGTAGGAGAAAAAAGAAATTTTCAGTATTGTTAGAATGTAAACTAGTACAACCACTATGGATATCAGTGGAGAGTCCTCAAAGAACTAGAAATTGCATTAAATCCAGCTATTCCCCTTCTAGGTATCTTCCTGAAAGGGTAAAAGACATTGTTTTATAGTGATACATGCATATCCATGTTTATAGCAGCACAGTTTAGCTAAATCTTGGAGGCAGCCTATACCCATCGACAGAGGAATGGATAAAGAAAATGTGATATTTACACACAGAAAAGTACCACTCTGCCATGAAGGAAGATAAACTTGAGTGATTGTTAGAAAATGAATGCACCATGAAACTATAGTGTTAAGTGAAATAAATCAAACACACAAGCTTAAATATGGCGGATGTCTTAGTTACTTTTCTCATTGCTGAGACAAAATACCTGACACCCACAGGGAAAGGGGGAAAGGTTTATGTAGCTTACAGTTTGTGGAGGTTTCAGTTCATAATTGGCTGCCTCCAAGGCAAAGCGGCACATGGCAGAGAGGCAACAGTTCATGGTGGTGGAAGACAGCAAAGAGCAATGAGAGAAAAAAAGACAAATCCCTTTCTGTCCCTTATATTGTATGTAGTCTACCGGGATTAGGGCAGTGCCAATCCATTCAGTGGACCAATCCAGCAATCACCCACCTAGTGGAGACCCACAGTGGATTCCAATCTTCTGCCCAGTTACAGTGCATGATGGGAAGGGAAAAAAGAGCAAAAGACAAAATAGAGGGGTGCAGAGCAGGGATCTGGGCTGACCAGTTGCTCTCTAGGAACAAAAGGCCATGAGTCTCCCAGACCTTGGTATTTATTCATTACATCTGAGTCAAAGACAATGCGTGAAGGGCAGTAGGTGTTCCCGGGAACAGTAACAGCTACTACAGTGGGCTAGCAGGAGCAAAGCACTCTTGCAAGGACGAGGACAAGGACAAAGACAAGGGGGTCATAAGGAAACTAGTTTCCCCAGGTGCCCTATCCCCTTTAGTAGGTCTTATCTTGCCCTGTGAGTGCCACAGCAGTCATTAGGGCTTCCAGCTGTGACCAGAAAAGAGTGGGGAGTTTCCACATTCCAATCTGGCCCAGAGACAGGATAAGAACAAGTGTAGATGTCCCCTAGACTCAATTTATAATTCACTGTCCCCAACACACACCCTTAATCCCAGCACACTTAATCCCAGCTTTGCAGTATGAATCGATCACACACTGTCACCTCAGGAAAAATTCTGTGACTGCCTGAGGCTTTGAGGGACATCTAGAAACAGGCCATAACAGCGTGGTTTCTCTTATATGATAAATCCACATTATAAGTAAAGTGCCAAGTAAAGGGGAGATAGATCTTTGTCAAAAGAAATGGAGCGGGGAGGGGAGGGAGGAAAACAGGTATGAAAAAGTGAATTAAGATGTGTTACATACATGTACCAACTCCACAGAAAGAAGGCAAACATTAGACACTGCAAACATGCACTAAATTAAAAAAAGAAACATTTATTCTACTAAAAACTCAAAATGATCCAAAATAACATAAAGTTTCCTGAGTTTTTGTCATTTTCTAAACTATATTCTGCAGAATGAAAATATCTCTGCATAGGTAGATACTTAGTAATCACGCAAGGATTAAATGATCAAATATACAGATTCTTTTTTTAAAAAATTAACAATAAGAAAAACTGTGAGAAGAAGGTAAGATTTTAAACCCTTAAGGGTATTGCCTGGGTTTCAGTTTTTTTTTTTTTTTTTTTTGTACCAGGAATCAAACTCAGGACTGTATGCTTGCCAGGAAGGCACTTATGCCTCTGAGTTATATCCCTGGAAAATATATGTATTTTAATAAAACTGCAGATTGGACTTCAACCCTCTTTACACCCTCACCTTCCTTAAAAAACCCTTTATGTATATAGCATATTAGATATTTTATATCATGCTAAAGGATATTTACAAGAACATGTAACTATAGACTCCGTGTTTTTGCTTTGAAGCCCCCCTTTTAAGTTGATCTTGTGGAACAACAGCACTGAGTAGGACTTCAACTGAGAAACAATTCCATGCAGATGTGCTTAGATTGTCCACATAAAATAAGCATCAAGAAAAAAAATTATCTGAGGTGAACACTCAAGTAATAAGACACATAGCTACATCCACAATAAGAGGGTTGGGTTTATCAACATTATCCAAGGATATGTGACTTGATATTTCAAGGACTTGTCATCTGCATTCTGAAACGTTGTGAGATAGGTAAAGTTGGTCTAATAGGTGTCCATTCATTTTAACAAAAACATGATAAGTACAGTGACCTACTTTCATGAGGGTGTGTGTGGTACTGGGGATTGAACTAGGATACAATGAGGCCTTTGTATCCTTAGCCCTTGTAAAATTTTGTTTTATTTTGAAACAAGGTCTCATTATGCTCCCCAGACAAGACACAAACTTGCAATCCTCCTGCGTCAGCCTCCCAGAGTGCTAGAATTACAAACACATAGGGGCATGTCCAGCTTGATCTGTTATTTTTGTTTGAATGCACAACTTGCCTGCTAAGGCATTTCCTGAATCTTTGTGAAAGTAGTAAATGTATGTTTTAGGTCCCCTTAGCTTTTGGGATGATGTGGGTCTGTATGGCTTGATAAAATTCTGTATGTTTCTCCTTAAAGCCAATTTAAATTGTTTCTTGTTAACTTTTGCTTTTTGATAATAATAATAATTGATTCTTGTCCTGCAGAGGGAAGACCTGGGCCAGTGGAGCCAGCGAGATTAACTTGGCCTTCATGTCCTCCAGGGAGCAGTCTAGCACCTGTGAAAGTCCACTGCAGGAGGAAAACGGTTCCAAGGTAGGACTCTCTCATCCTAATCCAGAGGCTCAGGATGAACTGTTGGCCCTTTTCTTCCTCTTAGAAGCCCACAAGACCAGTATAAGGACACCAGATGGAGAATCAGAAAACATGAATTCTGGTCAGGCACGGTAGTGCATGTCTGTCACCCCAGCGCGGGGCGGTGGAGGCAGGAGGATCGCCAGGAGTGTCGGGCCAGCCTGGGCCATGAGTTCAAGGCTAGCCTGACTACGCAGGGAGACAAGTTCTGTTAGTGGTCTGAAACAGGGTGCATTAGGGCAGCCATGTAGTTCACCATCCAAACTGTGACATTACTGAAGGGGGAGGGGCACTGAGAATGATGACACCGGGGCAACGGAGGACACAGACACGAACTGAAACTGCCCTCAGCAAACTGGGGTACACGGTCACTTTGGGCCACAAGACGTTCTCTACGAAACAGTGATGCTATGATCAGTGAGCTATTTCCAATGTTTACCTTTAAACCCTAATGATTAGGGTTGGCAGATTACTGTTTTTAAAAATAATGTATAAAGAGGTTTCAAATACCAAGAGCCAAAGCTTAAAAGCACGCCTCTTTAAAACTTTTCTTAGACGACTTTTTACAGAAAGGAATCAAGAAATTACTTCCTCATTCCCAGCAGTTTTGTGAATACGTTGCCCTGCATGCATTCCTTCCTCTTTTCAACCACCAGAAGGTATTTTCATGTTGTGTATTTGGTTTTAAAGAAGCCATACCGCCCCTGGTATGTCTCTCTATTTCACGCGTGGGGAAGAGGAAAAGGGACGGGGAGGCAGCACAGGCGGGATGGAGATGAGACATGAAGACTCCAGGAGAGGACACTTCCCGTTTCTGCTTTTGGTGCACCCGAGATGCACAAAACCAGCCTTCGTTCCGGGATACTTCACACATTGTGACGCCGTCGCAAGTGTGATTCTCACCTTGTTTGCAAGCGTCCCTACGATACGGTTTCTGAGACAAGCCAGCTAGGTCTGGGCCTGCTTGACCTGAGACCTTCCTCTGTTCTCGAACTCAAGGCAGTTGACACCTGCAGGCAGCACGTCCCACATGCCACCGTGCCTCTAGACAGGTCGTGCTCTTATAATCTCCTTAGAAATGCTTGCCACTCAAAAGTATGCCAGGCCCTTTTTGCCTTGAACAAAGAATCAGAGGAGACAAGCCAGTAACATTGCCAAAAAGTCTGTTTAAAAAGCATGCGGTGAATTGGGCCAAAGCAAAAAAGAAGGTAAAAGCAAAAATAGAAGTACACGCTGCATCTGAGAAACGGAGCATGGACTGTTGTGGAAACTCACCCAGGATGGCATCTTTCCACGACGGCCGCTCTTCTTTTATGACGCCCACACCCCTTGGGAGCTCTGGGTAAGTTCTACATACAGCATCCTCCAGTCGCCCCGCATCTTGTAACTGACAGATCCTGCGCATTTTCCCCCAGCCAGCTTTACCACCCGCCATCTCCCGTATCACTGCCAATGGTCGAAGAGAAGCTGCAAGAATTCCTTCTCCTTTCCCTCGGGCTGCACCTTGAGGCTCTCGCTCTCCCTGCCAGGGTGCTGCTTCCTCCCTGCGACCTTGGCCTTGGGTTTTGTGAACACTTCCTCCCTCTGCCCCGCCAGCGCAGGGACAGCATTGGCCTGCTTCCTACTGTTGCTAATTGTGTTCCCGCCGTCTTCTTCTTTCAGCTCTCTGAATACTTTGTCATCAGTTTTATTTCAAATTCCCTATGTTTAAAATACTCGTAAGTACTTTTTGTTTTCTTGGTGGAAACCTAACTGCTATCACACTCATCAAAATGGTGAGCTATTCCAACTCTGCAGGAAAAGCTCACTGGGAGGGCTTTATTATGAGATGGGATGTAGATCTCCTACATGGAACTCTCCCAGGAGTAACTGATCCAGTTTCATTTTTATACGTTGTCTTTAGAGCAAAACATACATAAATGCAACTCACTGGGCTCAAATTTTGGTCTGGTAAGGCTGATGCACTCTACAGAAAACTACATATGTGTATTCTATCACACACCTGCGGCATCTTAGAGATTGAAACATGAAAGAATGAATGAATGGAAACATTTTAATAAATGGAAACTTTCAAAATCAAATACTTGCTTGCACAAAGACAGACCTTAAATTTTATACGTTCTTACTAAAACAGAAAATACTGTAGGCCAGGCATGGTGCCACACACTGGTAATCCCAGTGTTTCAAGGGCTGAGGCAGGAGGATCACTGCAAGTTTGAGGCCAGCCTGGACTACTACACAGAGAGATCCTGTCTCAAACACACACACAAACCCTATAAATAGGACAGAGAAATGATTTTGCATGAATGCATTAAAATAATTCATGCATATTTTATATTTAGCTATGAAGTAGTATTTTCCAAATTATATACCATAAAGCTTAAATTGTATCCCACACTGGGGTAGGTTTGGCCCTAAATCATAACTAGCAACATCAGTAGTAACTAGCATTAATTTTATAATTGAGTTTAAATTTTAAAGACTCCAGGATCTGAAAAGTTCATTTTATTAAGTAGATGAACAAAAGGATCATTTTATAACACAATTGTGGCAAAAATTTGCATTAAATTACAACCAAGAAAACACATATCTCATACACTATTTCCTTAATTTTTCATGAACATTTCACCTTTCTAAAGTATTCATTACCTCCGGCCTCCTGGGTCTGGGAATTTAGTTGACTGGATTTCTCTAGCACTATTCCTGGGAGCGCCTGCACATAGCTGCTGATTGCTCAGTATAGAGCTATCAGATAAAATTAAAATGCTGCAAGTTGACCAGAACAATGCACTCTTGCCTTATATATGACTCACAGTATACTGATACCTGATAATTTTAGCTTTGATTTACTAGCCCCGGCTGGCTTAGAACTTGCAGTGACCCTCCTGCCTCAGCCTCCCGTGCTGGGATTACAGATGTGCACGACAGCACCCAAAGTTAATACTCTTCCTCAGGGTAGTAATTCAGTGTGATCCTGGAACACACAGCATTACCTGGACAGCTGTCAGAAATGCAGATTCCCGGGACTCCTTATCCCATGACACTCCACAGCAGGGCCACTGTGCTGTGCCCTGCAGCCCACCCAGTGGCAGGCTGCTGCGGTCCAGCTTTGAAAAGTCAGTGCGCTGCCACACACTGTCTTTGCAGCTTTACTCGGAGCATGATACTGAAATATGGTCTGTCCTCAGCAACATTTCTGGGTCCCTTGGAAACAGAATCGTTTGACGAAAGAATTTTTTGACTTTATGATGGTGAAAAAGTGATACACTTCTGATTTCGAATTTTCATCTTTTCCTGGCTAGCAATATGCATCACAACACTCTCAATGCTGGACAGCAGCAGAGAGCTGCAGCCCTCATTCAGCAGACAATCGCAGGGATTAATTCACACCCTACAGTGTACTGTGTTACTAGGCTACCATATTCTGTAGGTGTATTAAATACATTTTCAACTTTGAATACTTTTAATATGATAGGCATTTAGGATGTAATCTGAGGAGTACCTGTGCAATTTTACACATTACTTCAGCAGTCAAAGGTATTTAGTGTATTATACTTTACTCTAGAAAAGTCAATGCTACCCTAAGTAAAAACTTGGATGTTACTGACATGATGACTGTCACTGGTTTTTCCTCATAAGAAAAAAAATGTAAAAGCTATGCCAAGGAAGCAAAGGCAGTAAAAATCTAGAGACTGTTTTTTACCTAATGTCTAAGACTCTTCAAGTAAACGTTCTGCTTGCCTTGCAAGGACCTACTGAAATGAACAGACGCTCTCACACGACTGACCTCGTTACTGCTCACCATGATTAACGCGAGGCACAAGAGGACCAAGCAAACACTGAATGCTTAGCATTCAAGGACCTAAGTTAATAAAAGTAGCTGGCTCTTAAGAACTGCGTTTGAAGTTATATCAAAAACTGAAAATTTCATGATGTGACTTGTCCGAAGTTCCGATTTGGGAGTTTTCCTCTTCCAAACTCAAAATACTGTGAAGGAAATGTTGCCTTCATTTGAATTTCTTCTCTACCCCAAATCCCACCTCCAAAGGAAAACCACATTTGTGTCACCATAAATTCAAAACGTTCCCACTGGAGATGCTACCACTTCACATGACCGTCTTGGCAAGTGTGCCTCACGGGAGAGTACTAATTACTTTGCATATGCAGTTTTCCTTTAAATACATGTCAGTTATGCATTATTTGACATTCTAAGAGTCAATACATACCAAATATAGGAAATTTTATAGAAAATAATTTTTAAACGTACTGATACTAAAATGTTTAGTTTTGGGGGGGCTGGTACTGGGACTTGAACTCAGGACCTTGTGCTTGCCAGGTAGGTGCTTATGCCACTGAGCTATATCTCCAGCCCTAAAATGTTTAGTTTTTAAGATATATAAACCACAAATTTTGAGATAATCAAAAACTCAGGATGAAAACAGGTAATCAAGGAAGAGTTAAAGGTAAACATTTCTACTTCCAGGCAATCGTTATTCCTAAACAAAACCAAAAAGCTTCCTATTAAAATAATGGCAAATGTGTAACATTATTAATTGCTTCTAATTTATAGTGAACTCTTCTATCCCATTTATTAAAGGTTCTTGAGATGGTAAAGGAAAATTGTGCATATACAGTGCACTTACGCTATTAATTCTTGTATAGGCAAGTAAGACATACTATAAGACATGGTATCTAAAAATTCCCTATCAATGTAAAAAATCTACCTCAACTTATCTAAATGGAATTCTGAGAACATAAAGACATATTAAAGTAAAACTCTAAACTGGTGTGGTGATGCACACCTGTAACCCCAGCACTCGGGAAACTGAGGCAGAGGGATCACTGCGAGTTCAAAGTCAGCCTGGTGAACTACATAGCAAGAGCATGTCTTAAAGAAAAGTAAATTCAATTTCTATTTCTTTAAGCTAAGCATCTCACAAACGTAGTATCACAGTTTTAAAGATAGCATACAGTATTTATTTTACCAATGTAAGTCTGTAAATGTCAGATAATATTCATCTCCTATTTCTGTAAATTCTTTCTGAAATATTTAGTAAAAAAAGACTATTAAAAAAGGAGAGCAGGGAGAAATGTAGCAGAATTGTAACTAGAACTGCCTAAACTGAAAATACTACTTCATTTATTTGCTAATAAGGTTGTGGAAAAATACTGTTTTAATTAATTCCTTCTTTATCTCTCTTTAAAGACATTTTACCTCTTCAACTAGCAGACCGAGGATTAGTGCTACTGGCCTTCTGCGAAAACCTGGTTTCCAGAGGAGTCAGACCTTCCAACCCCAAGCTGGCTCTGCCTGACTGATTTTAAAGTGCGCACCAGCGATCTTCCTGAAACAAGACTGTGTGCCTTTCAGAACATTCACATTTAACCGTGAGAGCTCCCTTACAGAGATTCATCCACAAAACAATTAACTTTATTTGTCAAATGTCAGGGAAAAAATTTTATTGTAAGGAATTAAGCAAGTGGGATCAAAGAAGCCAAAATATCAGTAAAAAATGTATTTAAGGGAATGTAGTTAAAGGAATAAATGCAGGTGTATCACACACACCTAATAGCCTTCCTAAGCACCAGAAAGCACTCACCGAAGCACCTATAAAGCTGCCCCACTTTTCAGTTTCCCTGTGCTCGAGATTCTGATGATCAGTTAAGGGCAAGTCTTTGTGACACAACAGACTTCCTTCAATCAAGGTCATAATTTGAAATATTATACAATAATGGGATTTAAATTATTTATGGGAAGAAAGTAGGAGACTGAAAATAAGGTATCAGAAACCCCTAGGTATTTTTAGAGTCAGAAAAATATAGCCAGAGGCCAATATCCTTCTAAAAGAGGAAGGACAAGAGCAGCTGCCGGAGTGTGACTTCTCCCCAGCATACCCAAAGCAACATGGCCACTGGGACCCCGGCCTGACTGCTTACTCTCAGATAATCCCCGGGAGGAAATCGGGCCAGCACTTTTGTGTATTCAAGAGACAGGGTCTCTTTCTGCTGCCCGGACTGTCTCCAAACTCTCGAGCTCAAGGGATCTTTTTGCCTCAGCTTCCTGCGTAGCTGGGATTACACACATGCAGCAGGGCACTGGGCTTGCACTACTTTGCTTCTTGAGAGGCTGAACCCTTAGATACAAATACGCAGGAAGGGGGTCTTCAACTGCTCACTTTCCAGCCTACGGTATTTGGATACAACCATCATCCAGATAAATAAATCTTGAGAGAGAAGATAACAGCAGTAATTCACACTCTCAGTTAACCAGTTTAGTGGCACTCCCTTCTGAACAGTTCTTTGAATAAAAAGCAGCAGTCGAGTGCAAGCAGTCCCTCTGAATACCTGTCCAGTAAATTAACAAAGACTTACTAACCAGTTCTAGAATCCTAAGTAACAACACGACCTGTGTGATGTGAGAATAGTGCACGTGAACAAAAAACCCTAAGTTCAATGTCTTTGCTACCATATTTAAAAAATTATTTAAAATTTCAGTTTTAGCTCCTTTGCCTCAACTATTTTGCTCTGTAAATAGATCTTCGTAAGCTGTTAAATGGCAAAAAGAAGACGCTTCAACCAAAATTAGTCTCTGAGTAACTGAAATGTTATTTCAGTAAGTTCTTGATAAAAGAAAATTCCTTAAAAGTCCGTATGTCTTACATGCCTTTATCCTGTCAAGCTAAATAGGTCAAAGTATAACAAAATCAACATCATTTTTAGGTTAGGAATTATTGATGGCACCTGTCTGTTTTTAAGTTTACTACCACAATCTTTTTTTTTTTTGGTTTTTCTCCGGTACTGGGAACCGAACTCACGACCTTGCACTTGCCAGGCAGGCGCTTTGCCGCTGAGCTAATACTACCATGATCTTTTCAATTAATATAACATAGAAGAGAAGTTCTCAGGACCACGCAGAAAGATGGCTAAACTTCATTTCAGACGCAGGGTAACAGGAAAGCAACTTTAAGGATGTGAATAGGATAAACAGAAGTGGGTCTCTGCGAAGAGAACATGTAAAAATCAGATTCGTTAAAAAATTGTAATGAGAGCTAAACTACTCTGACAAAACTTGAAAAGGGAATGGGTTCTGAGTAATCACAAGCCTGTGAATCCTGACACATCTGCTCCCTGACAGCAAGCGGAGCCCAGGAACAGATGGGCAGTGCATGTAAGACCTATGTGTAAGAGCTGCGATTAGGAATATCGTGTACTTAATTTAATCTTGGAAGAAGAAAAACTCACATGTAAGTTTAAGGGTAGAATTGCTCCTTGGCTTTCTTTTTTGATGTTTTATCTGCTAAAAATTTACTTAGGAAAACAGGTTATTTAAAAAAGCTTCCAGTTCTAATGTAATTTGGTAAACTATACAGTGTGAAATCACTTGATACATCTATGATACACAAACACACATATAAACATTTTATTTTAATAATACTCTATAACTTCAATTTAACCATTCCATTATGAAAATTTCTTAATTGAAGATAGAATATTCTTTAAAACTCTAAATTAAACAGAGTTTTATCAATTAAATTTAGCAATACAGCCATTAGAAATACATACTTTTTCATTTCATAATACTTCCCCTTCAAAATTTGCCACGTTCGTCACATTTTTAAAGTACAAGGCACCTAATGCTATAAAAGAATATGGTACATGTAGTATAAGTGTACCAGATCTTTTCTCAAATATTTATTCTCTTTAAAGTTTCACCAAATTTGCATGAACATATCTGTTACATAAACACTTTTTCTGTGTAGTTAATTTGTGATAGTCTACAAAACTCAAAAATATAATCTGTGCCTATTACCAGTTGCTTATGCTAAGCATTTTACCTGTCAGAAACACTGATCTACATACTCAAAGGATTTCTTGAAAACATTTTTATAATACAGTCCAGCATTCAACAAATATGTGAAAATAAAGCCTTCAGAACAATAGGATTTTATTCCTTGATTAGTCAAATGATTTCTTCAACTCAAGTTCTTCAGATACGTAAGGCAGGGTAGTCCTTTAGATGGACTGTGGTCTGGAACATCCTATAATTGTAGTGATATGTACACAGCTACATAGCAAAGTACTTCATTATGAAAATGAAGAAAAGACATGAGGAAAAAATATTTTTAGAGTTTCAAAGAACTGAAACTGTTATTTTTCAGACTAGGCACTGAAACATTTTTCTACAAAAACTTGTCAGAGATTGTCTCTTCGCTGTATAATATTCCATCATCAGGCTAAAAACAAAGCAGAACAAAAAAATAGATATTAGATTAAATTTTCATAGTTTTAATATTCTATACTTTATACTTTTAAAAGCAAATTACAGTGGTACCTCAGTTCAAGAACTCATTTCTTTCCATGATTCTGGTTGAAAACTGGACTGGAAAAGAACCGAATTAAATTTCCCTATAAAGTCAACATTGAAGCTAACCACTTAATTTGATCTCAACATTGAAATACATATGTCATATATATTATATATATGGTCTCTGGACTGGGAAAACACCAGGTAGTATTCTACATGGCTCAGCAATTAACATTTATTTAGCCATAAAAATAAAAATAAATATAAATCCATCTGAAATTATGCAAATAACTATATGGAGAGGAGGGGGTGGTAGGAAAGATACAGGATGGAGAGGCAGACTCATCCACGGGGTAGGAACAGAGACCCTCACCCGCATTAGTGAAAAGTCAATGAGGATACCTAAAATGGAGAAATGAAGAAACAGAAATATAAACACAGTATGTAAAGATACAGGGACATAAATACTGAAAGAATCACCTAAGAGTTTAAAATGATTTCCTCAGAGTGGGAAAAGGACATGGGAGAGTGGGTTGGAGAAACATACCTTGTACAACAAATCTGGTAGAAGCAGAACTCACACTATGTGCATATGTAACATCATGGCAGTAACAACTACATTAAAAACTCAGAGGGGCGGGGGATGCCACTGAGAGGTTCTACCTTGCTCTTTGGTAGAAGGTAGGTTCTCCTACCTTCTACTTTGCTCTACTATTCTAAATGAGCAATCAGTTCTATACCTAACAAAGACATACATTGGATTTATTTCAAGTATTCACCAGCAAACCATTAACTATCATGTACTTTTTCTGTCCTTTAAAAAACACAAAAGTATCTCTTAAACTTTTTAAAATGAGAAAATATTCCTGAAACATTGTTAAATGAAAAAGCAGGGGCTGAGGATTTAGCTCAGCGGCACAGCGCTTGCCTGGCAGGCGCGAGGTTGTGAGTTCGATTCCCAGTACCAGAAAAAAACTGAAACCCAAAAAAAAAAAGAAAAGAAAAAGCAGTTACAGAATTAGGACTCACACTGTATGAGTTCCTAAAACACTGATTATACACTAAACGATTACATTTTTGTCTTTGTAATAGAGGAAAATACTTTTCTAGAGTGTATCATTAATAAAGGATGATCCTTAGCAATAAAAATGAACATTAAAACTTACTGATCACTTAATTTGACGCAGGCCCTAAATTACTCCCCAAGTATTTCACACTTCTAACAACCTTGTAAGGGAGGCTACCCACTCACTGAAGCCCCATTTCACAATCAGGAAAACCGAGGCATAAAGAGGTTAAGAAATTTACATATGGCCACACAGCCAGCACACAAAAAGCTGAGTTGAAAACCCAGGCACTTTGACTCCAGAGATTATACTGCCCTTAGGCTGTCCTGCCTCTCAAATATGGGATTATGAAAACTTCTTTTTGAATATTATGAGAATAAGAACCTAATTCAACACTGAGGGCAGCTCACATACAAACCTGAGCTGTGGACAACAGCTAACTTGCTCCGTCCTCCTGAGAAACACCATGCATAGGAATGAGACTCTCACACTGTTCACTGTCTTCTGGAGCTCTGAAGGAACAAAACAGAAAAGAAAAAGCCTAACTTAGACTTGACAGGGAATCTTCAAAATGATCTACTATACTGATTCAAGCTGTGAAGTCAGTATTTAAATAGGTTGGAGGCAAGAGCAGGACAGGATCCCCCACAATGTAGCCCATGTTCCTCTTATATTCTCTATTTTGTAGTACTGGGAACTAACCCCGGGTCTTTGCGCTGAGCTACATCCCAGCCCTTCCTTCAGTGTTTACTCTGAGACGGCCTCGCACAGCGCTGCTACCACAAGTGTGCGCCTCTATGTCCCAGCTCACCCTCTCTTAAAAAGAAAGAAATTTTAAAAAGAAAACCCAAGAAAATCTTAACATATTCCCTTAGGAATTATGCTCAAACCAGTAAGTTTTCTACATTACATTCATTACAGAAAAACAGTAAGCATTTGGTTTGACCCATTAATCAAAGCATTTTCTTCTAAAAAGCAGCAATGAAGAAACTACCTTATGACTAGAAGGATTTGAGCAAAATTATTTTTTGCTGGCATATCACAAAGGTAAATTATCATCTTTGAATAATTTCTCACAAAATGTCTAAAGGTTAGGGGAGCATGAGACAATTCTCATTTTACTTAGCAAATGGTTTGTAAAAATCTGTATGGAAACTAAACTTACCGCTGAATTCGATGCTTTCTGCATATAAAGGCAAAAATTCTTCTGATTCCTACCATCACAGGATCCCAATTATTATAATGGCACAAGAGAGTTGCAATAAAGAATGAAACAAATACAGGGATAGCGCCTGCGAAAAATAACCAAGAAAACTGCACCTAAAAATAAGATATCCAGAAAAAAAATATCATTAAGGGATCTTTTCTCTTTAAGGCAAGTTTCACATCTATGAACGCTAGCATAACTATGTTAAAAAACCAAGAAGATAATAGTAAGCATTGGCAACGCATTATTAAGTACCTTATTATTAAATAAAAGAATTTAGGACTTCAACTTACAATTCCACTTGCCCAAGTTATCAACAATACTTCCTGCTTGGAAAATGTGAGAGCCAAGAAGGCATACTGATCTCATTCCTTAAGCAGAGCTCGCCAAGAGGAAGAATATCTGAAAAACGACACTGTCCTGCACACCACATGTCTCATTTCTGGGTCAGTGATTATTGTGTATTCTCAGGTGGATTCCTCCATCTCAGTTTCACCTTCAACACCTCACAGTTTAAAACCAATGTTATGCTACACCTGTGTTGTGTCATGTTACAGCTCTTCAGACAGTACTAAAACCAAGTGAAATGCTGACGTACACCTTTTGCAAACTTTTTATTAACTACCTGTAATCAATTCTGATTATGATATGCAAAACTGGCTTGAATTATTTATCTAGTTACAAATGAAAAAAGTACAAAATGAAATAATGACCAAGTAAAATGAAGATATATAGGAATATTTCCACTAAGGAATGTTAGCCAGACAAGCAGCAAGACAAGCCTCAGTGGGGACCAGCTCTCTGATGTCACTAAGTGATGTTCTAATCCACTATTTATCGGCGTTACCAAGAAAATTAAAAACGAAATGCTATGAAGTTACCCAAACAAAACACTTCATTTTCAGTAGTTAACCTTCACCATGTAGATTCAAGTAGGTATCAAAAACAACTTTTAAAACCTGAGTTGATTAACTTTCAAGAGTTAATCAG